AATGGTTTCTGTCCAACTCATTTTACGCCAGCAGATCTACTGATAATATGTAGTGGAAACGGGAAATCATATACCAATAAAATTCAGACATTATTCTCCACATGGATGTGACAGAAGCAGTGTTGGATTGGTTGATAATGTAATATCAGATATAACTGATTAAATAATACACTGATATAGCTGAAGTGAAAACTCTACTTATCCTTCTCTTCCCTAAAATAATGTAAACTGTAACTCCTTCCCTATCCTAAAATAATATAAACTGTAACTCCTTCCCTACCCTAAAATAATGTAAGCTGTAACTCCTTCCCTTCCGTAAAATGATGTAAACTGTAACTCCTTCTCTACCCTAAAATGGCAGTGTAATCTGTAACTCCTTCCCTACCCTAAAATAATGTAATTTGTAACTCCCTCTCTATCCTAAAATAATGTAATCTGTAACTCTTTCACTATCCTAAAATAATGTAAACTGTAACTCCTTCCCTATCCTAAAATAATGTAAACTGTAACTCCTTCCCTACCCTAAAATGATGTAAACTGTAACTCCTTCTCTACCCTAAAATGGCGGTGTAATCTGTAACTTCTTCGATTCCCTACCCTAAAATAATGTAATCTGTAACTCCTTCCCTACCCTAAAATGATGTAAACTGTAACTCCTTCTCTACCCTAAAATGGAGGTGTAATCTGTAACTCCTTCCCTACCCTGAAATAATGTAATCTGTAACTCCTTCCCTACCCTAAAATCATGTAAACTGTAACTCCTTCCCTATCCTAAAATAATGTAATCTGTAACTCCTTCTCTATCCTAAAATAATGAAATCTGTAACTCCTTCCCTAACCTAAAATAATGTAAACTGTAACTCGTTCCCTACCCTAAAATAATGAAAACTGTAACTCCTTCACTACCCTAAAATAATGTAAACTGAAACTACTTCCCTACCCTAAACTCATGTAAACTGTAACTCCATCCCTACCCTAAAATAATGTAAACTGAAACTACTTCCCTACCCTAAAATAATGTAATCTGTAACTCCTTCCCTACCCTTATATAACACAAACTGTTCCCTTGTTCTATATTCACATACAATATTTCTGGTTCAAAGAGGGTTTGGCGCAAAAGAGTTATCTTTCTTAGGAGTATGTCTGGCGAGGGAACAACACCTTAAGATCACATAGTTGTGCTCCATTGGAGATCTGCAGGCATTACAAGGTCAATGATGGAGTCCCTATGTCATTCATTACAAACCACTCTAGACATCATGGCAATGTTGGGTGTATACCTCACCTAGGTTACTAAAATAGACCATAATTAAGTACACATGCGTTACTCATATAACCCATCCTATCTGACCTGGTCAGCCCTCACCTCAAATGACCTCACTTCCTGTGGACAAGCGTGGCAAAGTTTGATTGGGCGAAGTGTAGCCAACATTAAGTGTGGCAGTATTTGATTGGCTAAGTAAAACAGAGTGGAACATAAGTATGGCAGTATTTGATTGGATATAGATGGAGTAGCGGAGGATGGTGGGGCAACGTGGCACTCTGAGGACCGCGATTCCTTTGACGACAATGCCAACAATGCCTATTGGATGAGACAACACCAAAAACATTGCTGCTTATACTGATGATTGTTGGTTTACAACACCTGCAACAGTTTAACCCTACACCGCACCCACAACCTGGGCACATGTTATACCGAAAAATAGTGTTCTACGCAATTAATAATGTCTTCATTGTCCTAACTGTCTCCAGTTTATATTTGAGATTGACTAGTACCTGAGGAGGAGTTGTGAGTTGGGTTTCAGTTCTTAGCCGGGAAAACTGGGGGGAATTTAAATTTTAGTCTGTGTGAGGTAGAAGGAAATGTACATAGAAAACATTCAGAAGGATTCCCAGATAACGTCACTATTGGTGTACACAATTTTTCAATACATTTTCTCTGATACGTAAGTCAGTGCAGACTAAGGTTTCATTGTTTCCACATGCTTACTGAATCCTCTACAGGATTTAACAGGATGACTAGTTTTAAGGTATTCCACAAGATGAAACTCAGTGATGTTGTTTTGGGCTACTGGCCTATAGTGTAGCTAAGGAATACTTTGAGTGGAGGATCAAACCAGATTCCAGCACTAATGTCGTTGTTGTCATAGAAACACAAGTATATAACTATGTAACAATTGATTAGAAGAAGAAGACAATTAGGTTCTTTCTGCTCTACTTGACTCTAATTTAGTCCCCTTATCTCCCCTGTCCCTGACGTTACCCCTGTCCCCGGTAGATCATTGCCAAGGTCTGTCACATCATTCAGACAGCCAGCAAACACACAGCTGAGATGACTTGTAATGAGTCATACCTACACATAACAAACCTACTGAAAAATTACTGTTTATAGCACATGTGATAGATACTTAAGGCTTTATGCAATCTTACAGTGATAATTATCTCTGTGTTCCAGAAGAGTTCTAAACTAATTTATAAACTGATGAAATATATATTTTATGAGTGACATTATTACATAACAGCATATTTTTGAAAAATACAAGCATTAACCCTTTCACCACTGTAGACTATAATGGATTCATCCAGATCAATGCACAGTAGAGTCTACTAAAGTTACATAGGGGTGAAAGGGTTAATAGAACTTAGATAATACTGAATAACTACATTTCTCTAATCAAAAAGATTTTAAGGGAGATAACTCTTGCATGAATCACAAATATAATATGCAAGGTGGTATAATATGTAAGGGAGTATAATATGTAAGGTGGTATAATATGTAAGGTGGTATAATATGTAAGGTGGCATAATATGTAAGGTGGCATAATATGTAAGGTGGTATAATATGTAAGGTGGTATAATATGTAAGGTACATGGTATAATCTTGGTGCTTATGTACTTGTGTTTCCACAGATCCCTGCTCTGGAGCGGTATTAACTGTACTGTCTGGAGATGACTGACAATACCACAGAGGTTTACACCCTGGTACTTCTATCTATATGGCTATCTTGCCCCAGTAGGTTGTAAGTACACACTGCTTACAACATTGTGTGATGTTAAGATAGAAAACAGTCTCCTGTCCATCATATTTACCCTGCAAAAATTACATATACCAACACATCTCCAAGATAGCAAACTGATCTAAGTAAACACTACTGTATACCACCTAATAAACACTACTGTATACCACCCAATAAACACTAATATATACCACCCAATAAACACTACTGTATACCACCTAACACACACTAATATATACCACCCAATAAACACTACTGTATACCACCTAATACACACTAATATATACCACCCGATAAACACTACTGTATACCACCTAATAAACACTACTGTATACCACCCAATAAACACTACTGTATACAACCTATTATTACACACTACTGTATACCACCTAATACACACTACTGTATACCACATAATACACACTAATATATACCACCCAATAAACACTACTGTATACCACTTAATACACACTACTGTATACCACCTAATACACACTACTATATACCACCTAATATTACACACTACTGTATACCACATAATACACACTACTATATACCACCTAATACACACTACTGTATATCACATAATACACACTAATATATACCACCCAATAAACACTACTGTATACCACCTAATACACACTACTGTATACCACCTAATATTATACACTACTGTAAACCACATAATACACACTACTATATACCACCTAATACACACTACTGTATACCACATAATACACACTACTGTATACCACCTAATACACACTACTATATACCACCTAATACACACTACTATATACCACCTAATACACACTACTGTATAACACCTAATAAACCAACTGTGCACTACACAGTTTCAGAAAATTTGAGAGGTTGCAGACCTTTTGGAATTTCTCTATAATATCAGCTAAAATAAACACTTATGAAGTTAGACAGTATATTCTGGTGAAGAGATAGGACACTTGTACCAGAAAAACGATATAGGGTGTTTAGGAGGCGGATTACAGTAATCTGGAATGCTTGGTAATTGAATATGATGGACCCTACAGCAAGGTATTTTTCTTGGAGACATGTTATGGCTTTTGTATGACATTCTCCTCACCACTGACTGCTGCAACAATCATCACTACCTCCGCTGTAGTTCTACCGACCTGACTAAACGTCTAGTATAGAAAATAGCAACCACAAATCTTAGCCTTGCTTTATACATTTCTATGCAATTTATTGTGAATTTTCAAATCTTTAGTATACCAATTTGTCATCACCATTATTATCAACAATTTTTATAGACTATTTGACAATTCTGACCTGGAATGATTAGACAAAATCTCATGTTTGTGACAAGGGGATGTAATTAAATGTTTAATATGACCATGGATAGATCACACCTATACCAAGGGGAGTAATCAAATGTTTAATCTGACCATGAATAGATGACATTATTTCACACCTATAACAAGGGGAGGTAATTTAATGTGGTTTTTTTACCATGAATAGATGACAATATTTCACACCTATACCAAGGGGGGGTAATCAAATGTTTAATCTGACCATGAATAGATGACATTATTTCACACCTATAACAAGGGGAGGTAATTTAATGTGGGGTTTTTTACCATGAATAGATGACAATATTTGTCACCTATAACAAGGGGAGGTAATCAAATGTTTTATCTGACCATGAATAGATGACAATATTTCACACCTATAACAAGGGGAGGTAATCAAATGTTTAATCTGACCATGAATAGATGACAATATTTCACACCTAAAACAAGGGGAGGCAATTAAATGTTTAACCTGACCATGAATAGATAACAATATTTGTCACTTACAACAAGGGGAGGTAATAAAATGTTTTATCTGACCATGAGTGCAATGACAACAATTCACGCCTATTGCAAGGGGAGGTAATTCAATGTTTAATCTGACCGTGAAAGAAAAACAAAATTTCACCTCTATGGCAAAGCGAGGGAATCTTACCTTGTTTGATACATTTTCCAGGAAACAAGTGCGGTTCCCAAATCCTTCTGCAGCCAGACATACTCGTTCTGTTGTACTACTTTCCCGCGAGGATGTCACACAGCTCAGACAGACTGTATCATCCTGTTAACAGAAATAAACTTTTGTCAGTATCATTACAGGTAGTTGTTTGATTTTAATGAAATTCAAATAAAAATCATTGTAAAACATCAGCTGATATGTGGACAAAATTCCATTAATGCATTTCTAACATGTAATGTATGTAGAATATAGTGTAAATCATGGTTCAATAATTTAGATAAATAAAGGATATAGACAAACTTCGTAAATGGATTTTAATTCAAAGCTGAAGTTAGTAGTCTTGTCTTATAAGTTCCGAGGGGATGTCAGGTAATGCTAATATTGTAATGTAACATTTAATAACACAAAAAAGTGCACCGTGACATTTTAAGTGACCTGAATGTATTGGCAAACTTGACCACCCTGTTCCAGGTCAGGCCACAGATCACACAGAACCATGTTCCTTATATCCCTCGATCCACTACAGTACACTCATCACCATAAAGCTTCCTGCAGACCCAGATTCAGCCATCAATTAACCAGACAGATGCTTGTCGTGTATGGGAATCAAATGATCAATTGTTATGGTCTATGATTCAATTACTTAATGGATTGTTCCACAGAGCTTGCCTATAAATTGTTGACATAGTGCTGAACCTAATCCCATACAGGCTGATATGTGTGTATGTGTCAATTTGTTATTGGCTAGTCATTATTATACTTGTTGGAAAGAATAATTTTGTTTCTTCAATGACTTTTTTCTCATTAAAGCTAATTGTACTGTTGGGTACGATAAAGCAATCATCAACGGTACCAATACAAACCTATACTAGCAACCCTGATGTTGATGACATTATAACAAGTGTACAGGTACATACAGTAGTCAATTATCTTAAACAAGGACATTCGTGTGTGACTATAGATTAGACAGGGTGACATAACTGTCTCACACGATTTACCTCATCTCTATTAGACAGATATACCCAGAGTGACTGCTGAACTCTGTAGTTATCTGTCACTCAGACCCTGAGAGGAGTTCCCTTCAGTTCACTCAGTAACAAACTAGAGGATTGATCTGTAGACCTGGGTTCGAGTCTCAGTGGATACACTTTGCAATGAGACCTCAGTGAGGAAATACTAATGATTCTGATTACTGTGTTATCTCCTTACTTTATGCTTTTACTGCATGGGTTTAGAAATGTATGGTGTAAAACTCCAATATTTGCAGCTCTCTTATAAAACAAATCTGCCCTGTTAATGAACTTGTCCTTATTAATGGTCAAAATATAGACTGTGTACCATTTTTGTTGAATCATTAATAACCACATTCAGTTATCATGTATACAGATATAAGACCTTTAAAAATTGACTTAAATAGCATCTGAAGGTTTATTAATATTCCGTAAATCAAACTAGGCTACTGAAAAACATGGTATGAATCTCATTGACAGTAAACTGAGAGTGTGCTGTGATCAGTACATTGACAGATCAGTACATTGACAGTAAACTAAGGGTGTGCTGTGATCAGTGAGTTGACAGTAAACAGAGTGTGTGCTGTGATCAGTACATTGACAGTAAACCGAGCATGTGCTGTGATCAGTACGTTGGCAGTAAACTGAGCGTGTGCTGGGATCAGTACATTGTCTGTAAACTGAGTGTGTGCTGGGATCAGTACATTGACAGTAACCTGAGCATGTGCTGTGATCAGCACATTGACTGTAAACTGAGAGTGTGCTGTGATCAGTACGTTGACAGTAAACAGAGTGTGTGCTGTGATCAGTACATTGACGGTAAACAGAGCGTGTGCTGTGATCAGTACATTGACAGTAAACTGAGCATGTGCTGTGATCAGCACATTGACTGTAAACTGAGAGTGTGCTGTGATCAGTACGTTGACAGTAAACAGAGTGTGTGCTGTGATCAGTATGTTGACAGTAAACTGAGCATGTGCTGTGATCAGAAAGTTGACAGTAAATAGAGTGTGTGCTGTGATCAGTACGTTGACAGTAAACTGAGCATGTGCTGTGATCAGTACGTTGACAGCAAACAGAGTGTGTGCTGTCATCAGTACATTGACAGATCAGTACATTGACAGATCAGTACGTTGACAGTAAACGGAGCATGTGCTGTGATCAGCACATTGACAGTAAACAGAGTGAGTGCTGTGATCAGTACGTGGACAGTAAACAGAGTGTGTGCTGTGATCAGTACATTGACAGTAAACTGAATGTGTGCTGTGATCAGTATGTTAACAGTAAACTGAAACATGTGCTTTGATCAGTACATTGACAGTAAACTGAGTGTGTGCTGTGATCAGTACATTGACAGTCAACTGAGTGTGTGCTGTGATCAGTACGTGGACAGTAAACAGAGTGTGTGCTGTGATCAGTACATTGACTGTAAACTGAGCATGTGCTGTGATCAGTACGTTGACAGTAAACAGAGTGTGCGCTGTGATCAGTACATTGACAGTAAACTGAGCGTGGGCTGTGATCAGTACGTTGACAGTAAACTGAGCATGTGCTGTGATCATTACATTGACAGTAAGCTGAGCGTGTGCTGTGATCAGTACATTGACAGTAGACTGAGCGTGTGCTGGGATCAGTACATTGACAGTAAACTGAGCGTGGGCTGTGATCAGTACGTTGACAGTAAACTGAGCATGTGATGTGATCAGTATGTTGACAGTAAACTGAGTGTGTGCTGTGTTCAGTACGTTGACAGTAAACAGAGTGTGTGCTGCGATCAGTACATTGACAGTAAACTGAGCATTTGCTGTGATCAGTATGTTGACAGTAAACTGAGCATGTGATGTGATCAGTATGTTGACAGTAAACTGAGTGTGTGCTGTGATAAGTATGTTAACAGTAAACTGAGCGTGTGCTGTGATCAGTAGATTGACAGATCAGTACGTTGACAGTAAACTGAGTGTGTGCTGTGATCAGTACATTGACAGTCAACTGAGTGTGTGCTGTGATCAGTACGTGGACAGTAAACAGAGTGTGTGCTGTGATCAGTACATTGACTGTAAACTGAGAGTGTGCTGTGATCAGTACGTTGACAGTAAACAGAGTGGGTGCTGTGATCAGTACATTGACAGTAAACAGAGTGTGTGCTGTGATCAGTACATTGACAGTCAACTGAGTGTGTGCTGTGATCAGTACGTGGACAGTAAACAGAGTGTGTGCTGTGATCAGTACTTTGACAGTAAACTATCAGTATGTTGACAGTAAACAGAGTGTGTGCTGTGATCAGTACATTGACAGTCAACTGAGTGTGTGCTGTGATCAGTACGTGGACAGTAAACAGAGTGTGTGCTGTGATCAGTACTTTGACAGTAAACTGAGCGTGTGCTGTGATCAGTACTTTGACAGTAAACTATCAGTATGTTGACAGTAAACAGAGTGTGTGCTGTGATCAGTACTTTGACAGTAAATTGAGCATGTGCTGTGATCAGTACATTGACTGTAAACTGAGAGTGTGCTGTGATCAGTACGTTGACAGTAAACAGAGAGTGTGCTGTGATCAGTACATTGACAGTAAACCGAGCGTGTGCTGTGATCAGTACATTGACAGTAGACTGAGCGTGTGCTGGGATCAGTACATTGTCTGTAAACTGAGTGTGTGCTGTGATCAGTACATTGACAGTCAACTGAGTGTGTGCTGTGATCAGTACGTGGACAGTAAACAGAGTGTGTGCTGTGATCAGTACATTGACAGTAAACTGAGCGTGTGGTGTGATCAGTACATTGACAGTAAACTGAGCGTGGGCTGTGATCAGTACGTTGACAGTAAACTGAGCATGTGATGTGATCAGTATGTTGACAGTAAACTGAGTGTGTGCTGTGATCAGTACATTGACAGTCAACTGAGTGTGTGCTGTGATCAGTACGTGGACAGTAAACAGAGTGTGTGCTGTGATCAGTATGTTGACAGTAAACTGAGCATGTGATGTGATCAGTACATTGACTGTAAACTGAGCATGTGCTGTGATCAGTACATTGACAGTAAACTGAAACATGACTTCACAGGGAGGATGATAATCCACATCCAATTAAAACTTATTTCCTGGTTATAAAATCAATGTCACACTAAATAACTATGCTCTGTCACAAGCCACCATCACAGGGGCGAGAGTACCTCCAACAAGGTTTGTCTACCACACTTATCCAATCTTGTCTATTACTGGCTAATTAGTACAAAAGTGTTTGATCACCTATATACCGTACCAAAGACCCATACTGATGTAGGCACTCGTGAAATTTTATCTTGATTTTTCACCACTTATACCACCCAGATATTACACAACTACCAACATCCAAAATAGTATATTGCCAATACTTATTTTTGTACATGACTATCCTTCTACTAATCTTCATAAAATGAAAAAGCACAGCATGAACTCTAAAAGAACATTTGTGTGTAAGATACAACACAAGATGGTCTGCAATAAGAGATACAGTAAATAGGGCTGGCAAGCTGATGTAGGATGGAGTACAGACCTATCCATCTTATTGGTGGGCCACTGTAAATCCTGCCCAGATCAATGGCCCAGTAAAACAAGCCCTCCATCAGGCTGTCCATTAAATTCACAAGTTGTGTCAGGCTGACAAGGAACAAGTGGCCCGGACCAGTAGGACTTAGTTGTGTCAGTCTGACTAGGGGCCTGGACACGTAGGACTTAGTTGTGTCAGTCTGACTTGAGGCCAGGACCAGTAGGACTCAGGTAGCAAGTTGTGTCAGTCTGACTGTAGGACACGTACAATCTGTAAAACAAAACCTACCAACAAATCAATGTAAAACTTCATTTCCTTCCTGATATTTTCTTCTGATATTGAGAAAAGCAATTGATTGTCTTTGACTCAAACCAATATATGTAATACTCTAGACAATCTGAAAAGGGCTCTTATTTCATGTAACACTGATGAAACAAGTCTAGGGGCTTCAGTGAATGTCTAGGTCTTCTAATAGAAAACTTCAGTATAATATACCATCTGTTGAAGAAGTCATATCAACGGTAAATACAAATATAACACTTAATTCTTACAAATATGTTTGTAGGA